CTTAAATTTAGTAACAATTATTACATAACATACATTTTCTCAAAATATTAAAATAGTAATTTAATAAAAATACAATTGTTTAGAACGGAGCAAAAAATGGCTCACTTAAGTGATTGGATACTCACGTAAGTGATGGGGACACTCACTTTTCAATCAAATATTTATCCAAAAATTTTACTTCTTAAAATGTTTTAATATTTTGTTGGATTTCCTTTTACTTTTAAAACGTTATTTAATCTTCTTGGGATGGATTTGACTAATTTTTTAGCACGGATTTTAATTGTTGTTTTGAAGAAATGGTGTGTTTGCGAATTCTTGATTCCAATTCTTGCCAAATATTCTCTATGGGATTTAAGTCTGGAGATTGTGGTGGTGTTTTTATTATTAAGGACAGTTATACAGCAGCCAGAGTCTAACGTTCAAAGCAGAGTGCTTGGGGTCATTGTCCTGGAAGAATTTAAAATCGTTATGAAGGATCAATTTTCGTGCTGAAGATTTCAAATTTTGATTTAAAATGTCAATATACTTGTACTGATCCATTCTACTGTCAATAAAAACAAGATTACCAACTCTAGCGGACGACATACACCCCCATACCATAACTCCTCCTCCACCATGTTTTACTGTTAGCACCAAGTTCTGTTTGTGAAATTCTTTCCTGGGTTTTCTCTACACCAAGATTCTACCGTCAGAACCAAATATAATAAATTTACTCTCATCAGCAAATATAACTTCATTCCAGTAATCAGAATTCTTATTTATGTTGAATTTTGCGAAAGCCAGTCTGAGTTTTCTATTCTTTTCACTTACGAAGAATTTTTTCCTGGCTGCACTACGGTGATATCCAGAAAATCGAATTACTCTTCTAATAGTCTCAGGATTAACAATTACTCCATATAATGCTTGTAAATCAGCAGCAACTTTAGGAGCACTCATTCTTGGATTTTTTAATATTTCCAACGATAATTCGCTTTATTCCATTGGATAGCTTTGATGGTCAGCCAGATCTTCTTTTATCCTGAATCATATGATTCTTTTTATATCGTTTAATGATATTGAAAACTGTTGAATGACTCAAGTTAACTGTTTCAGCAGTTTTTCTATAGTAAAGCTAGAACTATGTATAAAAGTAATTAAGCAAACAAAACAAAAAAGAAACAGTTTTTCACAGACGATTGAGTATTTCTAATTCAATTAATTCAGTTCTAACTTCGCGAGAAGGCAAAAATACATAAAAACTCAAAATATCTATATTAAAAATTACGAAGTAAATCTTAAACACTTATTTCCTTTAAAAAACTTCAGAAAGGATTAAGCATGATTTAATTGGCAATAATAAACGAAGGCGTTATCTTTGTTGTTGGGAAGCTAAGTTTCTCTAGATTGGAAACAAATCCACTAGTCTGCTGTTTCAAATGTAAACATTCAATGGCCGCCATCAAAAAAAGGCTTAGCGGCACTTAGTCAATAACACTTTAAAATTGTTGATAATTCTAAAACTATTGCATACAGATTTACTGAAGGCATAAAACCTTAACCTGAAGATAAAAACAACATAATACAATCATTTTTAAAGCAAAAAATGTACAATTTACAAACATATAAGAGTAAAGAAACTGAGATCACTGAGCCAGGTAACAGAGTTGATATATATATATATAAATATTTATATACGTTTGGTGCGGCCGATTGCAACCAAAATACCGAGGTGCCCATCTACATGTTGTAGCAGTCCGATATATAAAAAATTTAAACGTTCTGAGGCTGCTCGTTTTTGAGTTATGCGAGATACGTACGTACATACGTTCGTGCAGACGCCACGAAAAATTCTCTTCAGAATTAATTTTAAAGCAGTTTTATAATTTTTTTTGCAGGAAAAGAGTTTTTTATTCTGTCCTTACGTACAGATATCACGCAAAATCATCGTTAAATTGCATTCGATAGCGGTCAAAATGGATATTTTCGTTGAAATATGCTGCCTGAAACTTTTCGCGATTACAATACTTCCTTTTTACTTCGTACAAGGAAGTAAAAATATTAAAAATTAATTTTAAACAAATTTCTTTACATGTTAGTTATTCTTTCACATTGCAGTCTTTTTGACTGCTTTTGGGCAATATAGGTATTGTAATATCTTGTTATTTAACAAATGACTATATTAATTATTGAAGTGGCAACGCCATATTTGTATGATGTAACTGTTGCTCAGCAACAGAAAAAATTGTTTTAAGTTTAGAATTCTGAAGTTTGACCAGCTAGGAGATGTATGAAAATTTTGCCACTTTACGGGGACTCGTACACCTTAAAACCCATAAGATCTTTGAATATGTGACTGTTGTAAGAATTGGGATAACTTATTTATTTTAAAAGAAATTACTTCGAATATTTTATAGCTGACTACGAAATATAGCTGCTTTCTGAAATAGCAATCAGAAAGTTTGTGTTGCCACAAATATTTTTATAATTTAATCCGCTTTGTGACAAAATATTTCATCATGTTTCCACCTTGCGCGCACAGTTTAAAACATTCTGTTTCATAATTTAATACCATATTTAATATATAGCTTTCATAACATTTGGAAACTACCGTGAACCAAAAATTCTAAGAATTTCATGTTAAATGTTTATTTTATTTGGATTTGAATTTATAACATGTATTTTATTAAAAAAATCTGTAATGTTTTCTTGCATAAAATTTTTTAATATTAAAATACTCATCAGATTTTTGGTTCAGTTAGAAAATAGTACCCCTATAAAGAATTCCATCTAATTTCGAGTATGTACCGTTAGCCATTTTTTAAATATCATGCGCAATATCAAGGAGGAAGCATGACTAAAAATTTTGTCACAAAGCCGATTAAATTACAAAAATATTTGTGGCAACGCAAACCTTCTGGTTACTAGTTTCCAAAGCAGCTATATATTATGTAGTCAGCTGTAAAAGGTTGGAAGTAATTGCTTTTAAAGTAAATAAAATATCCCAATTCTTGCAACAGTCACATATTCGAAGATGGTAAGGGATTTAAGGTATATGAGCCCTCTTAAGAATTGTATACAAATTATCTATCTGCGTAAACTAAAAATAAAATTTATATTTTACTAAGAAGATTATCTGTTTTGTCAATTACTGCAAAATACATTACAGTATATACTAAGTTTCAGTCTTTTCTAGTATTAATATATGAATGATCGTAACGATAGGTTATGTTTCTTAAATAATTCTTTTCATGCGTTTAAATATAAGATATATTTCCTTAGTTTCTAGTTACTTTCTTTGCCTTTAAGGACTTAAAACGTATCCTGAAATTTCCCCAAGGTGTACTATAATTGAGATGTCTGTAAATACTTATAAAAGCTGCGGTAGTTAAAATAATTTTATTTTTCATAAGAGGAAATAACTTAGGCCATAGAGTATACTGCAAACTATAGCCTAAGGAGGACATGAATTTGTAATCTATGATGTTTCCCTTGAGTTTATTGTCTCCGTTTAGTTTGTAGTGGAGTGCGTACGTATTTCGTTCTTTAGTATACTCTAACAATAAAATCTAACAACTCGCAGTAACGTTTTACATGTTTCCATTTATCTGATGTCTTAATATCTTTCATTTTCTAAAAGTATTCAACTTTTGATAGTAATTTTTATATTGTTAGAGTATATAAGGAATAAAATTATGAAGAATTTGTTTTGGGGTAATTATTATTCTCGAAAAAACTGGATTTTCTAGAGGCATTTCACATTCAAAAAAATCTTTCTGTTCTAGTTAACGATCCTAATTCCAATCCATTTTTGCCTTCGGCCTTTAAAGAAATTACGTTTTAGTTTCATCAACAGATGGCGCCACTTGTTTATTCTTGTCCAGGCTTTCTTTTCTTATCTAATCATTATGTTCTATCTTGTTCATTTGCTGTTTTGCAGCTGAGGATGGTGGTTCAGTAAAACCATCGAAACTACTCCTGTGAAATTTTGAAAATATAACGCTGATTTTTGTTGTTTTACTTCTGAATTAGTATTATTCTCGAATTAAATGGTATCATAATGTATTAGTTTAAGTGCAAGGTCATTAAATAAAATCCGGGTTTCAATCCTTGTTTAAATCCTTGTTCAACGAGGATAGCAAATCTGTGGAATTATTTATTGGAAGAATAAGGGGACAATATATCATTATTTGAAACTAATGACTATCATATGATTTTCATATCTGACTTGATGACTAATTAGTATCATTTGACTATTATATGGTACTATTATGTGAAACTGAGGCTCAAGTGGTATCTATTTAAAATTTTTAGTTTCTAATGGCAGATTACAAAAACAACTGTAGGTAGAAAAAGCAAAAGTGGAAGAGAACTAATAAATAAATAAGTAAAAAAAATGAAAAAAATCTGAAATGGTTCAGATTTTAGATTATGTCCAAAGGGGTCTTTAACACTTTGTCTTTAACACTTTGTGTATTACATTTATTTATTAACTACCATGTTCTTTGCACTGGGGTATATAAGGAAACATGTATATGTAAACATGAAAAAATATTGTTAGTCTAATAGAAATTATTATTATAATGTTTTGTAAAAGTTTACAATGGAGTGCTCCTTGTTTTTTTGACAATTCTTTTCTGACGCCGAAATGGGCCGTAAGGAGGCACAATTTCAAGATAGCCGCTACTCTAAACCAAAATAAGAAGTCAAAGAATTGCACAAACTCGGTGTCCATGTACACGTAGATCTATTTTCACTTAAAAAACGCCATAGAATTGCACAACTCAGCATTGCGCACTGCCTTGACTTTGTCCGTGTACAAATCGATCTATTTTCACTTAAAAAATTAAAAAAATGATGATGTCATATAAGCAAAATTACTCCTCGCCAAAACTGAACAAAATTTATCGCCAATCGAAGGGGCACCCAATTCTACAGTTTTATAGCTAATGTATGTTACAAATTATATGTATTATTGTAAAATATAGGATAAATGTACATGTATTTATTCTGTTTTGAACTAGGTTGTGAAAATGCTAGCCGTCGTTGTAGCTGTATTTGCCACTTTATGGCTTCCATACCGAGTCCTGGTTGTATACAATTCTTTTGCCAAACATCGCTACATGGAGCTGTGGTTCTTGATGTTCTGCAAAACCATGATTTTCATCAACAGCGCCATTAATCCCATTCTCTACAATGTCATGTCCATTAAGGTAAGTGTTCAAGGAAATTTTTTTCTTCTCTTCAAGCACAAAAATATTTTCATAAAATGTTTCAGCAGGTAATTTGATAATAGTGGTAACCTAAATCGCATTTTTTTTTTCAAACACAGTAATTTGGAAAGAAAAGGCTATGAAATTATTTTATCTAAATATCTTTGGTTGGTTTTTCTATGGGGTGATCAACTGTGTTCAAGATACCTGTAAAAGTAGATTTCAGTTACAAAAATGTTTAACTTGAAATAATTATGAATTTCATTTAAGGGACTCATACACCTTAAAACCCATAAGATCTTCGATTATGTGACTGTTGCAAGAGTTGGGATAACTTATTTATTTTAAAAGCAATTACTACCAACTTTTTACAGTTGACTACATAATATAGCTGCTTTTGAAAATAGTAATCAGACAGTTTGTGATGCCACAAATATCTTTATAATTTAATCCGCTTTGTGACAAACGTTTTCGGCATGTTTCCACCTTGCGCGCACAGTTTAAAATAATCTGTTGCATAGTTTAATTCCATATTTAATATATAGTTTTTATAACATTTGGAATCTACTGTGAACCGAAAATTCTAAGAATTTCATGTTAAATTTTTATTTTATTTGGAGTTGATTTTATAAAATGTATTTTGTTAAAAAAATCTGTTATGTTTTTCGTGCATAAAATTTTTTAATATTAAAATATTCTTCAGAATTTGGGTTCAGTTAGAATATAGTGCCCATATAAACAATTCCATCAACTTTCAAATATGTACCATTAGCCATTTTTAAAATATCATGCTCGGAAGGTGGAAACATGCTGAAACATATTGTCACAAAGCTGACTAAATTACAAAAATATTTGTGGCAGTACAAACTTTCTGGTTACTAGTTCCCAAAGCAGCTATATTATGTAGTCAGCTGTAAAAAGTTGGCAGTAATTGCTTTTAAAATAAATAAAATATGCGAATTCTTGCAACAGTCACATATTCGAAGATCGCAAAGGGTTTATGGTGTATGAGTTCCCTTAAGGTTATTATAATTTCTTAAAAGTAGAAGCAAATGAGCAACTCAACTTTTCATTTGTATCTTTTTCCATGAAAAACGAGCTTTGTTAAAATTTACAAACTACTTTGTTTTACTAAAAAGTTTATTATTCAGCTGCGCTAATTAGCTGATAATTTTGGAAATTAAAGTAGCTCTTGAGAAACGACTGAGCGTAAAAAAATTAATATTCAGCACTTGTATCATCTATTGCTTTTAAATAAGCAAGAAGAATTGAAAATTGAGATTACACAGAATTTAAAATATTTAGAGAGGTGTTGTGTAATGTACTTTGAAGCATTTTGAAAAAAGAGGCCGCACTTAAATAGAAAAAGAACTAATCGAAAGAAAGCATCGAATCGTGATTCATCGATCGAACTTTCGAGAAATTCAGTAAAAAATTGAAAACAAAATTTCTTGCGAGTTTGCTTAAGAGGAAATTTGGCATCTATTTATTACTAAAACTGTGCGAAATAAACGTTTAAAAGCTGATCTGAAAGATTGCGAGGTAAAAAGAACCTTGCGGGTCTCAGAAAAAAAAAAAAAAAAAAAAAAAAAAAAAAAAAAAAAAAAGAGTATGAAGAATGAAATCATATCCCTCTGAGCGGCCGGGGCTTTCGCTGAGAAAGCACAACTTTCCCAAAACTACTATGAGAACAAATTGTGTTTTGATTTTCGTAACATTCTCTCCTGGTATTTCATACCTGGATTTGTGTACTTTTGATATATTGCCTTAACGTCTCCGACATATTTTAATATGCACGTATATATACGTTCTTACAGATATCACCCTTGAATATTTAACCGTATATATACGGTCGTATATATACGGCCTTGCCGCTTAGAGGGATATTCCATATTTTTCAGATGCACAAACACTGCCATCTAAACGAAAAAAAAAAAAGCTTAGTTAGAGTGTGTTATGTGCATTCAAAATTGAGCTTTCTAATATCGAAGGCAAATCATGAATGCCTGTTTTCATCACTTAAACTATCGTTCACAAGCTTTCGCAAAATATGGAGAATACAATTTTGTATTTTAGATTTTCGATGTTGCTTTTATGAATTTATATATTTGATTAAAATTGCCTATTTCGATGGATATATTTACTTGTTGAAATATTTTTTATTTATACTGAAATGATTTATTTCTCACATTTGACGTGTATGGATTATTGTTTCAATATACTCCAAAATTAAATTCATTTTAAATGCATTATGACGGTTCTATTTTAAAATCAGAAATGATATCATACATTACTACAAACTTCAATATGTGTTTCTGCTACAAAAATTAGTATCTTCGAAATTTATATTTGTATTTTTGTATACTATTGTGCTTTCGCGAACTATCTCTAAAACTGTCAATACGTACGATAGTTTTTGCATCACATTCTATAAATTCACATTCTGTAAATTAATCTTTATTATGTCATTGTTACGAGGAGCTGGCTTTACATGAATTTCGTGTTTCGGCATCTCTGCAGGGACGGATTCCACACCTCCATACTAGGCTCCATGTCTCAGCCCCCCCAGTCCTCGCTGCGTATTCATAAATGGGCTCCCACTGCACTGCGACAGAGTTTTAAAAATTTTTAACTCAAAAAAGAGGCTTAAGAAAAAGCCCATATCACACATGCATTTTTTTTCACACGAACAACTGTTTCGAACAATTTTTCTGTCTGGCTTACTATTAAAAGAAAGATTTACGATTGTTTTTCCTTTCGAAACAAATTGCAAGTTGTTCGTTTTCAGCCAATCAGCTATCAGCTTGTTTGTGATGGAGAACCAGCTTCCCCTCTGTTAACTCCAAAGCTATCTGTGGTGATTGGCTGTTGTGACAAAGCAGAAAAATTGTTCCAAACAGTTGTTCTTCCGAAACAAACGAATGTGTGATAGTGGCCCTCTGAGTCACCCTGTACGGAGACGACGAAGGACGGGTGGCCTACTGAAGAACTTGTGTTCTGACCTCCGCGCTAACCTTCCCCTACGTCCAGGATCGTCCAGGACAGGAAAGGGTGTCCTTTCTGGCCGCTACTGTCATAGTAAAATGCTAAACCAGTGTTTTCAACCCAAGTAAATCTGTGTTGGGTAAGAAATCTTTGAGTGTGTGCACTTCTGGGAATTAAAGAGCGAACGTAAATAGAAATGAAAAAGCATTCAAAATTTTCAACAACAGATATTACAACATTTTGACTGTCTGTCAGTTGTAAATTTCTGACCATTACTCCTTCCCCCTAAAATAATAGCAGAATGTAATCGGAATATTTCTGTTCATTATCTCATACTCGTGTGAAGCAAGCTTTTCTGTGATGAATGATATTAAAAGCAGAAATCGACCATGGCTGTAATCATTGTATGAAGATTTAAGAGTATTTTGTTTGATCTTGCAAAGAAGCTATTCTCAGAAAGACCCAAGAGCACCTCCTTAAAAGTATAACTACCTCATTAAAAGTTTAATTATAATTTTAACCTGATTAAAAAATTATTATAATAAATAGGAAAAAGTAAATATACGTAACTTTTTTTTAAGAATTTTAATTTACCATTTTATAAAACATTATGATTTTTGTATCACTTTATTTGTGCTGATTACAATTAAGATTGGAAGGGAAGTTTAACCACGGATTCATGGTACGTGCCTTGAGATTAATTCTTTAACTACTTAACGGGATATACAGTGGATGGACAAAAATATGGAAACACCTTGTGAAATGCATGTTTGAAAAGAAAGATTGATTTTAATGAAATATGTAGGTGGCGCTGGCGTTTTCGACTACTGACGCCACCTATACAACTTCGTAAATGTGCTAAACAGTTCAGTTATTGTCGGAGTACTGTTATGTGAGGTTGTCATTGCATTATATTAGAGTTAACAGACTTCGAACGTGGGCAAATTGTTGGAGCACGTATGGTAGGTGCTTCCGTAAGCAAGGTAGCCGAGGTGTTTGGTGTTTCAAGAGGTACTGTATAGATTTATTTCGCATATTTGAAAAGCGGAAAACATGCTAAATCACAGCTCGGACGAAAGTGTGTCCTGAGTGATCGTGACAGACGATCATTAAGGGCAATTGTGACGAAAAATAAGAAGACCACAGCTGCAAAAGTTACTGCTGAAATGAATGTTGTGTTACCGAACCCTGTGAATACCAAAACAATTAGAAGGGAGCTTCATAAACAGGGAATGGCTGGCCGTGCTGCAATTGAGAAGCCACTCATCAGTGATGCTAATGCTCGTAACAGGAAAAGGTGGTGTTTAAGTCATAAAGCCTGGACTATAGAGCAGTGGAAGCGAGTAATATGGTCTGACGAGTCTTCTTTCACATTGTTTCCCACTTCTGGCCGAGTTTACGTCTGGAGAACGCCATCTCAAGACTATAATACAGACTGCTTGTTGCCAAGAGTGAAACATGGCGGGGGTTCTGTTATGGTTTGGGCAGCCATATCGTGGTTCTCTGCTAGCCCCATGATAACTGTGTCACGGCACATGACTGCCAAGACTTATGTGAACATTTTGGCCGATCAAATTCATCCCATGGTACAAACTTTGTTCCCCGATGGTGATGGTGTCTTCCAAGACGACAAAGCCCCTGTTCACACAGCTCACATTGTCCAGGACTGGTTTTCTGAGCACGAGGATGAGTTGTCCCATCTCCACTGGCCACCACAGTCACCAGACCTGAATATTATCGAACTTATGTGGTCTACATTGGAACGGAAAGTGCGTTCTCGTTATCCACCGCCAACATCGTTATCTGAACTTGCCACCGTTTTGCAGGAAGAATGGTATAATTTCCCTTGGCAAACATACAGGAAATGTATTTATCCATTCCGAGAAGACTGCAAGCAGTTTTGGATGCCAACGGGTTTCCTACACCATATTAAGCAAAGAAACATGTTTTTTTAAAGGTGTTTCCATATTTTTGTCCAACCCCTGTATATATCCCACTACAAATTAACTACATAA